CACTAGCACCGAGCTAATATATATAAGGCAGTATAGCGTCGGCGCTAGCGCAAAGGCTAACAGGCTAAGCTGAGGTTCTTCTTCCATGAAGTAGTTCTGTTGTCCTCGATCTATATTTTCAGTTCTACCTTCTCTCTATCAACGCTCTCTGGTTTCATTTAAAAGAGTCGATCATCAGATATTGTCCAAGATTAACCTTCAGGGTGGATATAGCTCGCTAGCAGCCTCGCACCGAGGACCTATCCACGTCATCATTTACCCAGAATGCTTTGCGTGTAAATAAAATGGCTTCGTCCTTGTGAAATATTTTTAAACTGTTTGTTTAAAAATTATAAATCTGAACCGCCTACAGTGTTTTTACAGTCTTTATTTTACAGTTAAAGTATGTTTATCAAATAGAGTCTAATGTTACAAGTATTTGGGGATCCCTTTAAGACTTATTATTGACGTTCCACAGCCGTATTTGAGTTCATATATTGTAAATATATTGTCACCTGGTGGATAAGTGACACACATATGAACAACATGTGTGACAGCTTTCACTATCAGCTGTTAACGTTAACATTGATCAATAACATTTATAGGCCTCAGTTAGCGATTCTAAATTTCACCTATAAATTTAGCAAGTGCTAATCCACTAATAAATTTTAAATTTAGCTAACGCACTAAAGCACTAATCAGGAAATTTGTTCCCCTTTTATTGCTTTAGTGCTTTAGGGGAACTGTGCCCACCACTGGTCTTAAAGATGACATCAGCTACTACAAAACTAAAGTAAAAAAAAACATGTTTATATCCATTTATGTCTTGGCTAAGGTTGATTATCTGTCATGGCCATCAGGAATTAGCTGTAGATGTACATCCAATAATTAGAATATAAGAGTTTCATTAAAATCAGTTCATGGGATACTTTGCTAACAGTGAATCAGGGCTGACACCAAGTGTTCATTGGCAAGTTTGAGGTCCAACCATTGTGCAACATGGAGATCTCGTTCACCAGCACACTAAATTTGACTTAAATATCTGTCCACTTAAATTGGATTGTGTCCAAAAGTTAATGCATATTTAATATACAACTAATGGTTATCACACCTGCCTAACTCACACTTGTCTCCTGACCAATTAGAACAAGAGTTTCATGAGGGTAAAGGGCAGAGTTCAGATGAGCACCTACAGGATGCGCTCCCGTGAGCTGAACGTTGCCGAGGAATTCCTGGTGCACGTCAAAACTTTGCCTCTTGTCTATGAGAAGGGCATTTACTTTGCCTTCCTGGAGGACTATGGAACCCACTACACAAGAAACGGGAAGTCTGGGGGCGAATATGAGTTGATCTACGTTTTAAACCAAGACACCATCAGAGAAAAGAGTATGTAATCAAGATTGTATCTAACTGTACTGTTTTTGTCTTGTGTTATCGACTTCTTTAGGTTGTTGGTGGTTGACCTGTTAATAAGCACTTGTTTTGATTTTTTTGCAGATATAACAGAAAGAAAGGTCCAGGACTGTATCAAAGCTGGGATCACAGCTGATGTTGGTATCGCTGGTAAAGGAGATATATCAGGACATGTAAAACCTGAGAACTGTGACGATTTCTCAAATACAAATACAGGTCTGCTTTTACTGATTTTTCTTATAACATTTATTTTTAAAACCTTGGGATATTTCAAGTTTACAGAATTTAAATTAGGACTAAAGAACTGTCATCCCCTGGAAGGTGCTCTGTCTGTGTTACCATCTTTATCACATCTTCCTTTCTGGGGGTCAGTGTGTGAGAGGCAAGGACACCCTGGACATTCATGCTCTCACTCATACCTGGAGATAATTTAGAGTTACCAATTAGCCTAACATGCATGCACTGCAAAAACTCTCCACCTTACCAAGTTTTAAAATCTTATATCAGCCAAAAAGTCTTTTTGATCTTGTTTTGAGACTGATTTACTAAACAAGAACTGATTGTGTAAGAATAATCATCTTGTTTTCAGAATGTGTAAGATTATTTGTCTTGTTAGTCTGAAGATTTGACTCAAATTAAGTCAAAACTTTCTGCCAATGTCGTAATAAAAATTTACTTGATAAGATTCTTGAAATAAGAAAACATTGAGTCAAATCAAGTATTTCAAGAATCTTATCAAGTAAAATTTTCTTACTCCGTTTGCTGAAATTTTTGACTTCATTTGAATCAAATTTTCAGGCTAACAAGACAAATAGTTTTACACATTCTGAAAACAAGATGATTATTCTTACACAATCAGTTCTTGTTTAGTAAATCAGTCTCAAAACAAGATCAGAAAGACTTTTTGGGTGGATATAAGATTTTAAAACTTGGTAAGATGGACAGTTTTTGCAGTGTGTTTTTGGTCTGTGGGAGGAAACCGGACTAATTTCAGAAAACCAACACATACACAGAGTGAACATGCTAACTGTACAGTATAAGTCCCTGGCCAGCATTCATTATCACAGAGACACAACACACTGCAAAAATTGGCCATCTAAGAATAAGTTTAAGATTATAGTCCAAATCTTTTCAAAATAAGTTAAATAATTAGCAAGTGCAGTAAGACAATTTGCACTTGGTAAGACTTCTTGGAATAAGGAAAAAGTTCCAGGCTAACAAGATTTAAAATCAAACTCTTGATTAGATTATTAGCCTCAAAATATGATAAACTAGAAGCACTCGGAGAGTGCAAACCTCCGCCTAGACCAATTTCCCCCATCCTGTAATAGAGTTACAAAGGGGCACACCAATACTACAGTGCCACCTGCTGGACACTTTGAAACCCACACCCTGTGAAAGCATCACAGCTTTGCCGATGTCAGAGTGTTTAAAGAAAAAAAAATCCTGTATCCGCATCGTGATCCAGAACATCACCAAAATTTAAATGTGTTCCTTGGTCCAGTACCCACAAGTGTTAAAAATGTCATGACAATCTGTCCACAAGTCTTTGAGTAATGTTGTCCACAGACAGAATGACAGACAGACGGACGGACAGACATACGCGACCGAAAACATTACCTCGCCCTTGGCGGAGGTAAAAATACTTTGGCTGGATTGGACTTGGTTAGATGGGCAATTTTTGCAGTACAGCTCTAACTGAGCCACAGTGCATCAAGTTTCAGGAGCCGTTTCAATGAAACCCTCTGAAAGTCATCATTATGTGTACAACGGCTGTGTCCAAAACGGCAGGCAGGGTCCTCCGAAGGCTGAATTCGTCGGCCGCATACGTCACAGCACCGCGACGAAGGCCATCCAAAACCAAAGACTCCTCCGATGCGGCCGACAAATACATCCTTCCTTTGGCCCGAATCGAAGGACTGGTCTGATGGATCCTTCCCGACCCAGCATATCCCATAATGCATTGCGGCCCGACCGGAGATTTTTGTAGATCTCGGAGATAATGGCGGACGAAGCGAGAGAAAAGAATACGTTTTAAAGAAAAATATGGTGATATAAAAATTTAAAAAAAATTAGCGGTTGTAATTCTAATACTTTTATCATTTGTATGGACGTGTTTTTAGATATTATTTTTTCGTCATAAAAAACGCGAAATAAACATGAACCTACAGCGGGTCAATTAGTTCTTCAAATGTTATCTTTAAGT